TCTCTACGAGAATACAGCCTATCAAAATGATGTTTATTGGAAATGTAGAACCAATCAAACAGATAATTTATGTATGTAATGTAATGAGAGCACTTTTCATTGACTGTGAACTTTTCATTTTTGAAACTGCACTCGAGCCAATCTTCTTAGAGGCAGCCAGCACCTTTGTCCCTAGGCAGAGAGAGAACCGGTGCTGGAGCCTTCTCTGAGGGTACTAGGGAGGGCCCTGGGAAATCAAGTTAACTGTGGGATGCCAGACTGTCAAAGCTCCTGAGAAACTTGACGTAGTAGGATCTTCTTCTGGGGATGAAGATGGGGAAGGAGGAAGGACTGAGACTGCTTCTCCCAAAATGAGAAAAAGAGGATGACCCCTTGACAAATAAGACACCTGCTAGGAATTTCCAAGCAGATCACAAGGAATTGTGGGATTGGCCTCTTTCCCTAATGTGGTAGAGTTGGCAGTCAGCTTCCTCACAGGTAAGGCCAAGGCCAACACTGCTTGCATCCAAGCAACCTTGAGTTAGAGTAGATAACTCGGAAACAGGCTGAGGCCTAATGAGAACAGATGGAGTCACAGGTTAGACTTGTTCCTTCTTTACTCTGGAGCAGAGGGATGACTTTCTAGAATGTCGGAAATGAGTTGAGAGCTCACCTGTTTAACAGTGTACTCTTCTGAAAACTGCTTATTCACCTCATGTGGTTTCAGAGTACTGGGCTCAATACCAATATAGGAAAGACTCTTAATTGAGAAATTCCTAAACTTACAAGAAACCTGTACTTGTTTGCACATTCTACATAACCCTAGCAAAATGCAGTTCCTTCCATTTTCTGTCGCTTTTTTCATTAGAAGATTTACTTAGGAAAATTAATTCCTATTTATTCCTACAGAATTAATTTTGGCATTGCTTGATTTTATCCAATGGGGCATGTGCTTTGAATTTTTGGAACACTTTCACAATTAAAAAGGAAATGAAGTGGAACTATTTTTAATTTGTTTCATCGGAAACAAATGTTAAAGATAAGGCTGAATATATTCATTTGTGTTTTTTGGCAAGATTTTGTTCAAGCCAGATGACCCATCCACAAAGGGTTATGTGTCTTCATCTTCTCAGATGCCCTGTACCTTGCACATGTGTCAGTAGGGTGCACTCTTGGGGGATTCTGTACCACTTCAATGGCTGTCGGATGTTCAGCCCCTCAAGAATGTGAACTTGAGTGCCTAAGTTGTCAGGAACACTTGACTTCCCTGTGTCAAACTACTGGTCAGCTACTAAAAAAGTTTAGAACTCAGGTCTTTGATTTGAAATGGGGGACATAGTGGCTCATACAAAGTTTAGGTGCTGTTAGAAGATGGGAACGATAGTGTGTTGCCACCTTATTTTTATATGGGAATATAGAAAAAAAAAAATGAAAATGAAGGAAAAACCCAAGATGATAGTGTTGGGTGATGTAAAACATCTTCCTACCCAGACAGCAGAACCTTTGGGTTATAGAATAGTGATGTTGTCTAAAAATGAAAGTTATTTTTGGAATATAATGCTTTAATAGTATAGTCTCATAAAAATTGTTCTTCATCTGTGAACCCTTTTTTTGTCTTCTGTTTGTTTCCTACCCTCCTTATTGGAACCACCTCAGAACCTAGTTCTGAAATGACCTTACCAAAAGTAAATAAATTTTAGTCAGTAGAACTCTGAAATTCCAAATGTTCTTTTGTGTGGTAGAGTTATTTTTAGGAATCATTAGGTTGTATTGAAAACCTTTAATATAGGCTATGCCAAAACTGATTATTCTTTTTAAAACTTTAATTCATGTCCTTCTACAGTTGCTTGGTATTAAAACAGAGGGTAAAAAGGCCATAGCATACTACCAAAAGTATAATGTATTAAACTCTTTTGACCTGAGAGCTAATTTACAGACGTATTCTCTGAGTGGGCTGTCAGTGAAATCCAGCAATCTGTCTCCAGGTGACTGTAATCTGCTTCCCAGTATTTCACCCAGAGGATGTGTTCCCAGGTGGGCAGAGTACAGTTGATCTCTAGCACAGAGATTCTGGCCTCTGCATGATTCTCAGGTCTCTGTGTACTTCCTGTTTAATAGAGAAGTTTAAGAGAATTTCTGAAAGAATAATACTCCTGATTATGGGAGTAGTTCAGGAATCCCATGGGAAGAAAGAAAAATACATGTGTCCTGGCAGCCATGATATTCTTATTTTTATTCAAATGGATTAGAAGTATATTTGAAAATTTGAATGTTAGTATGACATAATGCTACAGTGCTACTATAGAGTCAATTCATTGAATCCCCACTCCTGATACAAGCGAGGGCTTTAGTATACTACTGTAGAGTGTATGTGTGCAATAAGTCAGTCATTTTCCACGTGTACAGAACAGTCAGTGCAAGCAGCTTGGTAACCACTGGGTGCTATTACAATTGTTTGTAGCGAGTGCTGTTTTCCAGGAGATGGAGCCAGTTACGTTTGGCCGATCTACTGAATATCAAGTGATGCGCTTCCTTCCATGTAGACCTTCAGCAAAAGCAGGTACCTGGAAGCCACAGGCTCACCTTCTCTCTCTATCCAATAATTATTAATGAAGAGACCTCCATAAGGGAGCACTTGGCTATTATGGTAAATGTACCAATTATTAAATAATTAGTCTCCAAGCCATTGGTGATGTTTGTAGCATCACTGTAGAACTGTCTTGTGTCACTTTTTACTTCCCTCTGGATGGAGCCTTTCAGACTCCCCAATCAAGGAAGCGAGGCAAGTTAGTCTTTCTCTCCAGTTAGTGACTTTTACCCCATACGTGGGTAAGCACTTCCTAGATTGAGAAAAGCAGCTACACTAAATCCTGCTCTGTTTCCCTCATTTGGTGATCAATCACACATAAGCTCCTTGTATTGTGAATTTCATGCACTTCTCCCAGATGCTATAGGGTTTTCTCTCACTGTTGCCAGTGGATGTCATCCAGGCAGTGGGCTCATATCTTATGGTTTTGTGCAATCATTGTTGTATTGTAGTCCTAAGACTCATTATAGTGTATTTTTGATATTTTTGAAATGTGTTAAATTTTTTAATTCAATAATATGAGCCAGAGCATGTTGCAGCAAATCTATTGTTTGTAAAAAAACAATAACAATAATAAATAAAATAAAATGGAATATCTTTTTTATGGCTTTGTTTTAAAATGGAATGCCTGTTGTTTTATAAATTATTTTAGCATGAAGCTATAATTTTCTCTCCTAATTTATATGTATAGGAACCTAATTCTTTTTAGGATTTTTTTTTGCTTTTAGGGGAAGATAAGCAAGAACAAACACATGAAACCACTTTCTGTGACTATGAAACTGAGTTAAGGCAAGAATAAATACTTTTGATCACCTTTTCAGCTGAAATAGCAATAAAGATTATTACTTTAAGAAACATTCTGATTTGGCTTACACTTGTAAAGAAGTCTCAAAGACAGGGAACATGGTCCTTATTTACATGCAGGTTATTAGCTGACTAGAGAAAACTCAATTGTAAACAATCTGCAGCTCCGCTTAAATAAATCACAGGGTAGATGGTGACAGAGGAGCTAAGCTGGCCACCATGTTTTCACAAGGTATTAGCTTTCGTGTTAAAGAACTAGTGATGACTAACAGGACACTTAGAATCCCGTTAAACCTCTAAATTGTTGCTCCTTCCTCTCTCCCCATTGGGTGTTCCCATAATCTGGATTTTCAAGTAAGATTACATCTCATTCCAATAAAGGCCAAGTTAAAGTCATTTTGCAGGTTTTCTCTAGTGGAATGAACATTTTAAAAACTTGGTTCGATGACTATTTATTGAGCATCTCCAACGTGCGGGACACTACGCCACCACCTACTTAAGTACCTCAGTTCCATGAGACACGCATGCCCCTAGGCCAGGGTGGCAGAAATGCAGTTCTCTGAGTATGTTCTCTGTTTCATACGATATTCATTCCCTGGTACACCAAAGGCCACAGGAGTTCATTAGTCACTCAGAACATATTCCAGTGTGTGACTTAGTGGGTCTGAGTTTTGCTTCTGCTGCTTAAAAAAAGGTTTTGTGATCTCAGGCAAGTTACTTGATCTTTCTGGTTTTTCTTGTTTAAGTGGACATAATAGTATCCATCATTAGTCGTGAGCTTAAATGAGCTGACACAAAGTGCTTCTTTAGCACAATACTAGGCACAGAGTGAGCACTCAATGAAACAACTCAGTGAACTATTGGCTAGACCACTGAACCTTCTTGAACTTTGTCTCCTCATCTGTAAAATGTGAATAGTAAATCTTGGCTTGCCTACCTGACAAGCGGTAGTGAATAAGGTAAGGTGTGCTAACGTGTTTTGAACGTTATAAAGCTACAGACGTATCGGAGTGTTGTTAATTACAGTCATTGATTGGCTCCAGTCACTTAAGTAAAGCTGCGTCTCAGGAGCAGTATAGTGTAGATGGGTCTGGGCACAAAGTTGGGGTCAGATAGGCCAAAGTCCCCATTTAATCAAGCACGGGACCCAGACATGGGCAAAGATCTAATAGGGATTGTTCCAAGGAATAAATGTTAGGTGAGAATAGTGGGAGCGGGGTGGGATTGCTCCCACTATTTGGGTTGTTTGCTCTTTGCTGCTGTTAAACTTCTTATCTACCACTCAGTGAAAATTCTGTGGGACTCTAGCCACTGCCTTGGGTGAAGGGTGATAGGAAGCACCTTTCTGTGGCACTGCAGACTTTATTTTAACCTAGCAATGTAGATTTCCAGTTGATTTTCCTCCTAGCTTTTTTATAAAATATAATATGGATATTTCCGCATTTCTGTATAAGGCTTAATTTAGGTCTTTCATCTTGGACAGGTTCTATAAGAATTAGCTATTGAAAAGCAGGAGAACAATTAAAAAAAAAACTATAAAACAGGAGTGCATATATTTCTAGTTGCATCTGACATGAGCTGATATATTTGAGATTAGATATAAAGTTTAAGAAGAGGTATAAACACCAGATTAAAATTACTCAAAGAACTTTATTTTAAAGATTCAATGCTAGTGATCTGTTACATTATGAAACAGTTCAAGATAATGAGAAATTACTGTCTACCTTTGAAGGTTTATTCTATGGGCACTGTCAGGGAATACAGAAATGAAAAGCCTTCAATAAGCCTTTGAAGTCTAGTAAAATTAACTGCTTTATCTGTGAAATCAGTTGAATACATGTGTAAGAAGTTTATGAATTTTCTCAGTATTTGGAAGCTTCATGTTTAAAAAATTATAAAATATTTCAGGAAAGTGAATTCCAATAGAATGACTTGCCACAAAAAAGAAACTAACTTGGAATAGCTGGCAGAAAGCATTTTCTCTGGGCCTTGAGGCAGGAATCCCAAGGAAGCACATGGCTTGCTAAAAGCATCTGTTTTGTGTACCAGAAACTCAACCTCCCCTCTCTGGTGGATGAAGGCTGCTTGTGTCACATGCAGCTGCCATGCACTGCCATGGCACCCTATGAGCAGAATACTTTCTGTAGGAGAGAGGATCAGAATGCAATTACTGGTTTAGAATTCAATCACACAGCTGTTTTAAAGTTACTCCCCTGAGACCAAATACAAGGGGAAATGGTGTGTTTCTTTTGATGACTCTAAGCAGCTATGACAGTGAAGATATTTCTACTGTAATACTGGACCTGCTTCCTCTGATGTGTAGTTCTCATCTTAACGAATTTCTCTGGCTAGTTAGTTATTACCACTATGACCTTACCACATGGCGAGAGAGCCATACCACAAGGTATACCCGGACTTCTGTTGCTGCTCTTTGTAGTAAAGATGGAGCTATCTTTTTTAAGCTCTCATCGAGTCAGCCAACAAAGACTGATCACCTTTCATGATAGAACAGTGACACTATTTAACTTTGCATTGGTACCAGTGGGAGCATTTATAAAATCAAGTGCGTGAAAAGCACAGTTATCTAATGTGTCTTTAAAGGAACTGTCTTTTTGAGAAAACAGAGGTGGGTTGACATTTAGGTTCCAGAAGAAGATCTCAGAGCGTTCCAGACCACAGGTATTCTGATGCATTACTGTAATTTCTATGCTGTTCTTGGCTGTCTTTGCAGTGCTTCTGTTCTCGGTAGCTCCGTAGGGCCAGCACCACGCTGGCACTGTACATTATTACCAGAATACAAGCGAAGGTGGCTGCTGCTCCATCAGTGCCTGCCAGCTGGCAGTTCATCCAGGTGAGACCCTTGCGGGCATAGAGCCTCTCCCTTGTTTTGCAAGTGTCCGTGGCATTGATCTGCAAAGCTACGTGGAGGTAAATGCCAATGCCTATGCAGTAGCCCACTGCTGCTAGGAGGCTGAAGGCAGCCTCTATGAGGAGCCACTTCCCTGGCAGCTTTGTTAGACTCTTGGCTCCTTGGAGTAAAACGCCCATGGTGAGGACACCCAGCCCCAGAGAAACAGCCACGCCACTGTATATCAGGGGTGCCCGGAGAATTGTGTACTGCTGGTCCAGCTGCCGAACCTGCTCCAGCTCAGTGCCCTCGAACGGTGAGTAATAGTTGTTCGCAAAGCCGCTGCCACTAGTAAAGCTGGCACTGAATCCGGCCAGGACAAAGTAGGAGGCCACGATGCACATGAGAACCATCCCATTCAATATCACCTCCACTATCTGCACCACGCCTAGGGAAAGAGAGATTGGATTTAACACTGACATTGCTCACCCACGGCAAACTAGAGAAATACCACTGGTGACCTGATTTTAAGACCATGGTCAGAACTGGCTGGTTAGCTCAACTGTATATGTTTGAAAAATCAAAATAGCATTCTGGAAAACTTGGGAGCAGTTTCTTTAAAAAGTTAAACATACACTTACCATGTGACCCTGCAGTTGTACTCCTGGGGCATTTACCCTAAAAAACGAAAACTTATGTCCATGCAAAAACATGTACATGAATGTTCATAGTAGCTTGATTTGTAATAGCCAAATATTGGCAACTACTTGAATGTCCTTCAGTGGGTGGATGATTAAACAAACTGGAACACCCATCCCATAGGATACTACTCTACTCAGCAATAAATAGGAATGAACTATTGATACAGGCAACAACTTGGATGGATCTCAAGGGACTTATGAATGAGGAAAAGCCAGTCTCAAAAGATTAATACTGTATGATTCTGTTTATGCAATAGTCTCAACAGTACAAAATTATAGAGATGGAGCACAGATTGGTGGTGGTTGGGGGGTGGGGATGGGTGGGGATGGGAAGAAAGGAGCAGGGGATGGGTGTGATTGTAAAGGGCAGCACAAGGGATGTGTGTGAAGATACAGCAGTTCTAGATTTGATTGAAAGTTTAAAAAAAATTACAATGGCATAAAGTATAAACTGAGAAATTTCACTCATGTCTCTATACATTCTGTTTTCTATTCCCCACCATTTTCATTAGTTCCTAATATAATTTTCCAGATTTCTGTTAAGAAAATAAAAACATATCCAAGTCTGCATGTCATACCCCCAAAAGTAAGCGTACCATACTGTTTTGCATCTTCCTTTTTTCATTTACTTTACCCTAGAGATGTTTTCAGATCAGTTCCTACAGAATGGCCACATTCTTCGTTACATGGCCTCCAATGCCATTATGGGGATGGACCAGGGTATTCAACCAGGATCCAACTGATGGATACTTGGGCTGTTCACTTGGGAGCTTCTTGTAAGTTTAAGGAACCCACAAATGCCATGAGGCAGCACGAGCCAGCAGGTGAACAGAGCCTGAATGTCCCCTTGTCTAAGGTCAGCTTTCATTTGTTACTGACAGAGGCTCCAGACTCAGGTGTGCTTCTGGGAGATGGTCTCCTGTCATCCTCTCAGGACTCAGAGATGAGAATGAAGAGAAAAGCAAATGAACCAACAGAGGGAGTTCAAGTCCCTGCTCCTGACTGCCTTGTGATCTTGCCCACGTCATTTAGTCTTTCTAATCCTCAGACACTTAATCTGACAATTGAAGATAACACGTGTCAATCTTACCCACAGGCCTGTGGTGAGGCTCAAGTGAAAGCAAGTATATGAAAATACTTTGAAAATCATAAAATGTTATGCAGATGGATGGTGATGCTACTTAGTAACATGTATAACATGGTAGGGGATTAGTGAGAGACTTAAGAAGAAATGGGATAAATTTTTGAAAAGCATTTCCGAGAAATCACGACAACCCTCTAATACACTACGGGGTCCCACAATGTTTATAAATCTGGGCACCTAAAGACCAGTACCTCTAAAGAACTTAGGCAACAGCTACTGGGCATGCTGATCCTATCTCTTGCTAGGCCCACACGAATTCCTAGAGGTCCGTGGGACACAGCAGTCAAGGGCTCTGCTAGCTGAGAAGCTGCATTCCTCTAATTTAAAACTGAAAATAACATCAGATCCAAACTGCCCACTCTTCACCCAGGCGCTGTAAGCTACTGGCCACTCTCTTCCCACAGCAGAGTGAGTGAATTGACCCCAGGTGTCATTCTAGTTCATGGGGGGTACCTATTCCCTGCACCCAACACCCTTTTCTGCCTTGCTTTTCCTTCTGTGAGCAAGTTAGTATCTTACCTCTTGAAGGAAAACAGGAATACTCTACTCCTACAAGATACAGAAAAATCTGATGTTTTTCTTCTGGGACAGATTCTACCAAAACAGTGGAGTCAAAATCCATGCAGCATATATCTGCTAGGCTAAAATGGAATAAATCTAGCTCAGATCAACCACCCCACTGACTGCAACAATTGAGAGGAATAATGATCTTCTTCCAGGTCCAGTGATACTAGGTCTGTCAAAGGAATTTGGCTACTGAATATTATCCCAGGTACCAGCCAGGCCTGACCTGGCTTAGCTATCAATATCAAACAGGCCCAAGTATTTCCAAGTATGCTATTAGTGCAGAAAGATGCACACACAACGGCAGAAAAGAAAAAGGGCGACTGTTGATCTCTAAGGAGGGGACAAATCTCCGGAAAGCCAGCAGAGGGCCTGGTAGAAGTAAGTGGACACTCTGAAACAGATCTTTGCTGTAAATAAGCATCTTTCTGGGTGAGGCTGTTTTTCTGGCTGATTATTTTATACTCTGCTTAATTATACATGTACTTATGCCTTTGCATGGTAAACATGGTTCAGAAAAACCTAAGAAGAGCAAATCAATGTATTTTTTATTTTTTCTAAATTAAAACTAGTGCATGTGCAGTCAAGCCATGCGTAAAATGAAAAATTAAAAAATTCTCTTCTCTCCAGAAGCAAAACTGTTAATACTTTTAAATGTATTTTTCAAGAAATTTTCTAATCACATAAAAGATGTATGTATTTCCTTTTCTAAACCCAAATGGAACTCACCTTTTAAATGCAATCAATTGTCTGTATTTAAGGGAATAATATTATAAATGTATTGCAAAGAGAACCATCACCTCCAAATTAAATTTTTCTTTGAATTTTTATTGGATTCACATAAAGCAAAGAACATATTCACTTATAACAAGAATGTATTGTAGTGTTCCATAGGTCATAATTCAGTGTACAATAAGAACCCATGAAGTTGTCTGGCTAAATGTAACATTCTTTTGTTAGGAAAGATTTAACATCCTTTTATTCTGGATAGATCCTGAATTCCAGATGTCGGGTTTAATTCTTTGTACAATGGTGCATTTACAAGAGGTACAAAACACTTATTGAGTTTCAGGGCTAATGTAAGGGGTTTGCAGAATAGCTTCTTTGCAATCCAGTGAATTAATCTGATTCCTCTTTCCTCATCCCACGCCTACCTCCAACTTAAATTTTACAGGAGTAGTCTCCCCCAGAATCCCCACCCCCTCCTCCCATAGAATTAAGTGGAAGGACTGGAGAGGTGAGTGTGGAAAAACTTCTGGGCTAATGTGCTTGAGACAGCTGTGTTTAGAAAAGTTCAGACTGAAATGTTGTCTCGTGTCTATGTGGCTTTTTTGAACTTTGAAGATAAGGTTCTTCAAATTCACTTGGTGTTCTCCTTTTATTTTGATTAAATAAAGAAGTTAATCAAGAAGTGCACTTTTCTGCAGCACAAGTCTTTTCCCTGTGGGTCTTGGGCTCCAGTTTTTTGTTGTTTATTTATTTTTAATGTAACTTTGGTTAGTGCGTCACTAACAGAGGACTCCAGAACCCAGGGCTTCTTTTTCTTTTAAGATGACTGGTAAGCGGATCTTCACCCTTGACTTGGTGTTGTCAGCACCACACTCTCCCAAGTGAGCCAACTGGCCATCCCTATATAGGGATCCGAACCCATGACCCTTGTGTTATCAGCACCACACTCTCCCAAGTGAGCCAACTGGCCATCCCTATATAGGGATCCGAACCCATGACCTTGGTGTTATCAGCACCACACTCTCCCAAGTGAGCCATGGGCCAGCTCAACCAAGGCTTTTTATATCCAAGACCACTGCTCCAAGCACTGGGAGCTACAGCCGCCCTACGAAGGTGACTGGTACTCGGCAGGCGTTGGCAAGTTCCATAACAAAGTATTTTTGTGACAGACAGTAGTTCAGAGTAGCTTCCACTTCTTAACATTTAGCAGAATGTTTTAAATAGCCTAAAACTCAAGCATTTCTGCTGGTTTCTCTTTCAGTTTCCTGACTTTCTGATAACCCCTGATGGCCAAGATGGCCCCCGCAGCGAAGACCACAATGCCCAGGGCAGCAAAGATTCCAGCTCCTATATCTCCCCCATGGAAACTGCAGGTGAAGCCACTATAGCCTTTGCTTTGGTACAGCACCTCCCTCTCTTGACACACAGAAGAGCCATAGGCAGCAGAGAGGTAGTGGAAGTAGAAGTAAAGGGCTGGGATGTACGCTCCTGCGATGAGCACGTCCAACGAGCCTTCGATCACCAGGCACAGTGGACAAAGCCACGGGATCCTCAGGACACCCAAGGCGACGAGGAGGCAGCAGAAGGCCATGAGGGCTCCACCGTAGGCCATTGCCGCAGTGACTGTGGGCAGCTTTAGCTGGTAGAACTGGACATCCAGCTGCTGGGCTCTCTCCCCGTCAGCACCACTGAAACCACTGTAAGCCCCTCCGAACTGGTAGTAGTAAATGCCCCCCAGACTGGTGATGCCTGTGTAGCCCCCTGTGGAATTGTAAGATACAGAGCTGCAGGCCAGGATCAGCAAGTTCAGGAGAACCTCCAGCATTTGGCAGCACGCTGTAAAAAAAGGGCGTGTTACCATTTTGTGAGACGCTGTTTTGCACCTGGAGATTTCTACCTCGAGGCTCATCTTTCCCTGCAGCAGCTCATACAGCAGCTCTTTATTCTCTCCTCCCCTCTCCCCTCCCGCCTCGCTGGAAGGCCTGAATAGCCAAAGCTGCATAATTAGCAGTAGATGGTAGCAGAGAACTGTGGTCTCCAGAAATGGTGTTAGAAATACTATGAAGTGAAAGGTATAACTCTCAAAGGAGCAAAGCTGCCTGCCCCAGGAGAGGGGCAAGAAGATGGTAGGAGAGATCTGGCCAGAAAGAAAGGCATCCCACACGGAAGGGCAAACCCAACCCTCACCACCAAACCCAACCCCTCAACACCAAAAAGACTAAAAAAGTTATCTCCTCTTTATATATATTTTGTGGCTATTTCTGCTTGTAAGAGGACATTTCTCCAACTTTGAAGACAATCATAGAGCTTAAAAAAGTATAATGAAGTTAGAAAAAAACATGGAAGTTATCCATAAAAATGTTAACCATGGTTTGCGTGTATTAGAAATAGGAAAGATTAAGTTAATTAAACCCATAATGCCTACTGAGTTAAAGAAACATATTTATTTTACGTTCTTAGACTTTAACTCAGTAAGTACGTCTTAAAGTTTAACTTTGATTTCTTTAGTTTCTTTAAAGAGTACACCTGGGCTGTAATATTTTCCCAGAGCTGGATTCTCTCAGGGACCTTGGCTTCTTTACCTTGGACAAGGAAAGCTTCCTGCTTTCTTTAACATCAGCTTTATTGAGATATAACTTATACACAACTAAGTGACCCATGTTAAACGTACAGCTTGACAAGTTTTGACAAATGTATATATCATGTAACCATAATCAAAAAATAGAACACTTTCATCAACCTAGAAATTTCCCTAGTGATGCTTTGTGGTCAATCCTTCACCTTCCTCCTAGGAAACCTCTGATCTGCTTTCTCTCATTAGACATTAGTTTTGCCTTTTCTAGAAAGTCATGTAAATGGAATCATACATACAAAACCATATCCTTTTGTGTCTGGCTTCTTCTGCTCAGCATAATATAAAGCTGGGTGCTTCTGAGCTGAAAATGTATGTTGCTGGAATGGTGCTGACTCTGTGCTGGGTGCTGGGTTAACTGACTCCGTAGGATCAGTCTGTCAGCACCTCCTGGCTATTAGATAACCAGATTTTATGCCTGGTTCCAGTTGGCATATTTATGAAGCTGTGTTATATCTACACATTCTCTAATTGAAATGATGCTCTCCCAAGTGTTTTCTTTACACTCTATAATTTCTCCTCAACATGCAGACAGCGTTGTTTTCTTTAATTATGAAAGTTACACATATTGTAAAAAAAGAAAAGAAATTGTAGATAAAAAAGAAACATATAATGTAAAAATTGTCTATAATCCAACCAATAAAAAATAGCCACTATGAATATTTTTTTTCTGGACTTTTCTACCATATATTCATAATTTTTGCTGTTTGTCTGCTTTTAGGTAAGCACAGAATCCTACTCTACTATTGTGTAACCTATTTTTTCACTAAAGAATGTAGTGTGAATCTTTCTATCTCAGTAAATATAAATCTACTTCACAATTTTAAAGGATGTACAGATTACCACAATTAATTTAAATCATCCCAATGTAAAGGACATTTAGGTTTTCCAAATGTTTTCTTATATGGGAGAATTTCTTAATAAAATGTTAGGAGGATTAGAACCCCCACCAGAGTCCCTCATTCCTCGGGTTTCGTATAATCAGAAAAGAATGACCAGGGCTTAGGGAGATGGCCAGTATATCCTTAAAAATAAAGGCCCAGAGGCCCTCTAGGACTTCCTTGTACAGAGATGAGTGCTCCTCATCCCTTGAAGGGATCTGGTTCTCTATGTCAGCACCTCTTTCTGTCCTAAGAACCAGAAGTTCATTTTAGGTCATTCCTTCCTCTGGCTCTGGCTGGATCATTCAGATCTGTTAATGACTCAACCGTGGTTTAAAATCCTGACATAAACAGTCTGGATAAGTACTGGATTAGGGTGTTAAAAAAGTATAAAAAAGGAGAGATTGAGAATATAAATAGGAAAAAAAAAAAAAACTACATACAACTTTCTGCCCTGAACCTTTTCAGCATGATCACCAGTAAATGCCACTGGCAGTGGGGGGCCATCTGTCTGTCCCCTCCTGGCTCTGATGGGCTGCACTTGCTCTCAACTCCTCCAATCTCAGGTTCCTAGTCCAGAAACGGTCTCTCTGAAATGTGAACTCAAAATGCTCTCAAAACCTAAATCTCAAGGCTCTGAGTGAGTGACAAACACTACTGACTACAGGAATTACAACTATCTTGGGAGAAAGTTAAACTTCTAAAGATGATCTGCAGTAAAGGTTAGAAATTGAATGCAGACCATCATGATTTGAGCACAGTGTCTAAGGCAACAGGGAAGGAACAAAAGGGAAAGGAGAGCTGCTCCACACGCAATGGGGGCAGAGCCAAGGATGCACCTGCTCTCCAGGGAAATTGCAACTCCATGCCGGGTCCCTCCAACAGTAAATGAGCACAACCTACACAGGCCCAGGATTCCCTGATGGCCTGATAAGCACCTGTGACATCTGTACTTGCTTTTTATCTGATCTTTATCCTCAGCCCCTAAAGATTTTAGTACCTGAGAATTCTTGCCTGTAAAAGTGAATTTGGGGCCTGTGTGTTCCACTGCACTTTCTAAGGTGAATCATAGCCCAGACTAAAGGGTGTCTCCAGGAAGTTAGAGAGGGCCACGGTTACCTCCCACTTTTACAAGTCTGCTGTAGGGGGACATGGTTTCACCTATAAGGAAAAGAAGTCCCAAAGGATCTAATCTAAGAAAGGTCTAAAACTCTTCCTTTACCCTGGCATGTACTTCCTGCTTGAGGCAAGTTCCTGGTGTTTAATGGCTCCTTCTCTCAGTACAACATTGTATTGCGTACTTATATGGGTCTCTGCACATTCAGAGTTCTTTATAAGCTTTCACTTGTTAGCTTCCAACTCCTGAACCATCCTTTCACTACCTAGTTAAACCCAACCTCCAGGCTCAAAGCCAAACCAGCCAGAAGCAATCAAGGCTAAATCAAGGTGTTTTCCTCAGAAGCCTCAGGCCCTGCCCATCTCTTAGCAAATCAACGACAGAAGAAAAAAATATCTCTTCTGAGAAACTTAACTAACCTCTGGCTTATTCCTGGTATTTATATTATCAAGAAAGGAAGAAAGGTCAACCAAGTAAACCATTTGAGGCCTTAGAATCAGGCTCTAAGTTTCAATTCCAGTTTTTTCATATAACAGCTGTGTGAGTTTGGGTAACTTACTGTATTTCTAACCCTTAGGAGTCGCTGAGAGAATTAAAAGCAACGGGATTGTGCCAACAGATGTAAGCTAGAGTGATGATTCCTGTACCCAGATTACCTAGAGCCCTGTCATCAAAGTTCCTTATAATCCTGTAAATCATGTACACCTTTGTAATCATCCTAAGATAAATTTTCAGGTATAAGCTCCATGATTTCTCTCCCTTAGGCTGAGACATTTTATCCCTTAGTCATATGCAGCCTAGGAAAATTTCTCAGCAAATCATGTGAGCCATTAGGGCCCACCCTGACAAACCAGATTTTCTTCATTGTTGGCAAGCCCAAGACTGGTGCCACGTTTAGAGCTAACACATGATATTGTCTAAGTGCTTTTCAGAATGTGGGTCCTAAGTAAGTGTGGGGTTTTGTTTTTACTGAAACAGAATAGAAAATATCACAGCACTTGGTGTGTAATAGGGTAAGTATAGTTTCATGACATTTTCGTCTGTGTGTGTGTGAACTTGGTCTTAATGTAATATATATTTCTTACTGTGGATCTCAGTTAATAAAGTTCAAAAACCACTGATGAAGTGTCTGGGCAACAGATCTCCAAGAGACCATCTGCTCCTGTCCACGTGGCTTGAGCTGCAACCTGGCTGCCCTTGCCAGGTGATTTTCTCCCTATGCTAACTCAGCCCATCTTGCCAGAGGGGCCCCCAGCTGGCAGCTCACAGCCAGTCCTACTTGCAGCCCACCACAGTTCCACCTGGAGTCTGAAAACTGCAAATGTGGCTGCTTGTTTCTCCAGGCCTGGGGCCACCTTCGAGAGGCATGAGAAATCTAGCAAATGTTCTAGGTAGACCTTCTAGAATCTATAGAGATGTTCCTACATTTTTTCCCCCTAGAAACCAAGAACCTCATGCAGGTATGAAAACAAAAATGCTAGGAACCCACAAGGAAGTCTGCTAGAATTTTTGCTTCAACAGCTCAGAGCACCCTTTCCAGAACCACCAGCAACAGTAAACGGTCAAACTGTCTCCAAAATGACTCACCTCTCCCAGTGCACAAGTATCTGCACTTATGGCATTCCAGAAGTCCTTCAGCCTCTGACTGGGAATATTCCACTTCCTCTCGTCCAGGCCTGGGGTTCGAGGGCAGATATCTCCCTGAAGTGGGTTCACTATAACCAAAAAGCATACACAGACATTAGGGGGCCTCCAAGTCAATACCTTGCTCAGTATTAGAACTCCTGATTCCTCCTCATCCTGGGCCCAAATTCTTGGCCTAACTTGGCTAACTGACCATGTGACAGAACCTGTACATCTGAGCACCACCTTTAACCCTGGTTTGTCTGCCTGTGGGAGCTGTCTAACCAGGTAGCTGTGAGTGGCCTTCTTTGTGAGCTGAAGCTCTCAGTTCAGCATGCACCAGGCCTTTTTTTTAATTAAAATTTTTTTTAGTTGTTTTGAGCCTGGCCTCTTTAAAACTAGTTTACATCCACAGACTGATGCTCAGGCGGTACTCTCTTTTGTCCCTTGTTATTTTGGAAAGCACTGAGTAATTGTCCAGGTACATGGGAGCTACAGACAACTTTTGACATCTTCATATCATTTTTTCCTTTGCCAGCCCTGGCACTTTGTTTCTTCTTTCTCTCCGTTTATCCAGCACATCCAGGGCTTTGCCCAAGATTCAGTGGAGGGAGTGGGGGCTGGATTCTACTTGCTGGGCTCCAGGGATCTTTCTAGAATATAGAGCTCATCATGCCTTTCTTGAATGGCACGGGAGGCCCTTGCTCATCTCTCTACACTCACAACCTCATGCGCATAGACTCAGCCACAGTGAACTGTCCCCCTTTCCCCCAAAAGATGACCTGCTCTCCCATGCCTCTGGGTCACTGAGGAAGCTGCTCCTCTGCAGGAACACCTTTCCATCTTCCCCTGCTCGCTCCTTCCCCAGAGTTCGGCTTTGAGGTTATCTCCTCGGAGAGCTTTCCTGAGCCTAGTCAGGAGCCCAGTTCTGTTCTCTCCACATCCTTCCACCTGCAGCTGCCCTATTAACTGTCCGTCTCCTACACCAGCCTGAACACCCTGAGGGTAAATGGCTGTATCCTCGCCCCCCCATCCTATCCATTAAATAAGTGCTTGTTAAGTGGAGGAATGACAGAAATAAACTGCCCTTCGGTTTCAAACCACCAGTGAACAAAAGAAGCGAAAGCAAAGGTGTTCCCTTCCCTCTCTTCGGAGTGGGGAGAACTGGGACATTGGCTTAAAAGGAAACCTAAAAATGTAGCTCTCAATTCTCCCATGTCATGCAGCTGCAATGCAATGTGGCTTTAGTCAGGGAAACAATAGCTAGTGCCTGTGACTCTATCTGGGCACACCCTTTGTCATGCTAGTTGGTTTTAGATAATGTAACATAAACTCAGGATAGTAGCTTTCCCGCTGCGTGGACACAACAGGCAGACACGGCTCAGCCTCCAAGTCTCACAGCAGAAGAGAGCCTGACTCTTCCTTAAAGAAGAGACCAAGTGTCAAAACCCAGAAGGCAGTCATCACCCCAGGACCTGTCTGTTTCCTTGCTGGAGCGGCGGGAGCAACTTCCCATCTATTCACAATCCACAATGCCGGGCACATAACCTGTGCATTCAGTAATATTTGTGAAATTGGATGGGGGTGTGGGAACCAGGTTCCCTCTCATCCTCCCCAGCTCACAGAGTCTTTCGGATCATCAAGATGCTTTCTCCTCACTAGGGCTTACGGGAATTCTGCGTTCCACAAGGCAGGGATGGCAAAGTTTGTTCATTCAGGAGGGTGGGATCTCAGCAATCACGGGATTTGAATGAGGCTAGACAGACCTCACTGATGAAGGGGAAACAAACGCATGTCCTTCTGTGGGAAACTTTAGATAGACTCAGTTCTTTGGTTAAAAGTGTAGCTTCTCCCAGCTGTTTTTGAAATGCATACACCCCTGGGACGGGTAACATATTAAAGTATTAACTCTTCACTGGGCTGACTGTATTAGGCACCGGCCACCAGAGAACCAGACTTGAAGGTCGGAGAGGGCTGATTCTGGAACTCAGGACAAGGGTCTGAAGCCCCAGCAGGCAGTCGTGTGACCACGCGGGGGAGGGTCAGGGAGGAGCCTCAGGTTAACACCACCCACCTAATCTCCCTCGCACCCCTTCCCTTTCCTGTCTAGGAGACCTGTCTTCCCCTTTACCTGGCGCCCCGCCCTGCCACGGCGAACAGGGCTGGTTTCTGCTTTGTTAATCGGGTTCGGGTCCCAGGTGCGAGCACCGTAAAGTTTTCCTTCCTCCCAGGTCACCTCTGAGCGCAAAAGAGAAATGGCACCGTCTTCCCAGGACAAGTGGCCAGGGGGCGCCAGAGCGGCGCAGGCTGGCCTTCGACCCCGGCTTCCTCGGTGTCCCCAGCAGCGCCCCCTCACCTGTCCGGTCCGCGGCGCCCGAAGGCCCCCTTCCTCTGGGGCGGCGGCTCCGGGGTTTCCCAAGGCGCGGGCCAGGGCGGCGGGGCTGCGTCCCAGGTTGGTCCCCGGGGTCCGTCCCGCGTCCGGCTTTGGCGGGACTTTTCCCAAACTTTGTGCTCACCACCGCGAGGGGCTGCGTCCCTGTGTCTGTCCTGGCGGGGGTCTCGGTCCCTCCCCCTGTCCCGCTCCCCTCGCCGGTCCCCGTTCCTCCGCCCGTTCCCGTCTCTCTCCCTGCGCCGGTCCCCGGGTCTGTCCCGTTGTCGCTCGGGGTGGCGGTCTCGGTCCGTGCGGGGGCGCCGGTCCGGGTCTCGCTCTCTCGACCGGGCCCGGGGCTCACGAGTCCCGGACGAAGCCTCCATGGCCCGGTTCCGTGTCCCCGCCCCGGAGTAACCCAAAGGCAACAACCATCCACAAGTTTCCTGGGCAGGTGGCCCAGCCCGGGGCGGGGCTGGCAGCTCACCTGTGCGCACGCGCGCTAGTCTCGCCACCGGCAGAGAGCGCACCTGAGCGCAGCCCGAGGTCAGGGCGGGAGGGGTGAGAGTGTGTTGGGGGGGCCCCCGCTGCGCTCAAGTATCCCATCGCTGACCCCGCAAGGTGAGAGGCCCAGGGAAGCCAACTCTGGCCACCTCGCGGACCTTGGGTTTGCTTTCCCAGAGTGGACTCATCCACTCGCTCACCCACCCCTTCTGCCACCCACCCAGCCACCCATTCACCCACCCAGCCACCCATCCACCCATTCACCCACCCAGCCAGCCATCCAGCCACCCACCACCCACCCATCCAGCCACTCACCCACCCACCCATCCAGCCACCCATCCACCCACCCATCCAGCCACCCAGCCACTCATTCACTGTCTTTCTGTCCCTCTCTCTCCTGGCCTGACAACAGCTATGTTGTAGGGGGCTTGAGGCCAGTTCATCTATGCAACAGTCTCAGTCTTTCAAAACGTTCTTTAAAATGGGGAACCATATAGAATCGGCAGATTTTGTTTTGCCAAGTAAGGCTATTTAAAAACATAAAATTGCCATCTGGTAATTAATCCTTTTAACAACGATGTAGGAGCACCTGCTTTAGCAGGCGCTGTAGATACAGTGGTGAAGTCTACTTGCATGGTGCTTCCGTTCTAGCACGTGTGGGAAAAAGAGACAACTGGTAATAAACAAGGAAGGAAAACAACGTGCAAAGTTTAACAGGGAAGGCGGGTTTCTTTATATAGATCTGGGAAGATGACATTTGAGCTGAGTCATGGATGATAAGAGGCAGCCTTGGGATCTGCTGAGAAAGTGTTCCAGAGAGAGAGAAGCCTGAGTAATTGTAGGAGCTGGACCAGAAGGTCACCGTAAGTAGAGTGAGTGGGCACCAGATGAGGCTGAAGAAGAGGAGCAGGCAGGTGGTGCAGGGTCTCCACGGTGGACAGTCTGCATTTTTATTCTAAGAGCAGTGGGAGAACATTGGCAGGTTTTCAGCAGGAGAGTGACTTGCTCTGATTTACATATTTTAAAAAGATCACTCTGGCTTCTGTGAGGACAGGCAAGAGATGAGTCAGGAAGCTACTGAGGGAATCCAGGTGAGGATTGACCGTGGCCTTGGAGATGGTGAGAAGTGGACAGATCCAGGTTGCAGTTTTGGGGAAGAACTTACCAGATGGATGGGATGTGGGGGAGTGAGGGGAAGGCAGAAGTGACTGGGGAATGGTGGGATTGTTTACTGAGATGAGGAAGACTTGAGAGAACCAGGTTTGGGGGGAAATTGGAGAGTTCCATTTTGGACATGCCAAACTTGAGATGGCAGTGATTCACCCGGTTGTAGATGTCTAGTTGCGGTTGTTATGAGTCTGGAATGCCGGGGGGAAGGCTGGGCTGGAGACACTCTCTGGGAGTAAAGGAGCTCACCTAAGGAAGGAGAGAGGTAGAATGGAGAAGTCCTTGGGCAGAGCCGCGGGAGACTCCAACATTTAGAGCTAAGACTCAAGAGGATTAAGAAGTGATGAGTGAGGTAGGAGGAAAACCGGGCGAGGAGATGACCTGACATCAATCTCCATCCCACAGGAGCTCTGCTGCGAGCTCCACAGCCTTTCTTCCCACAGTGGAGAGGGTGGGGCATGAAGTTCCTAGGAACTTCCAGGAATATTTACTGAGCAAAGCCCTGTTCTCAGGCGGGGACAACTACGGCTGCAGAGGGAGCCTGGTACACAAGCAGACACAGGATGTTTTGTGAAGTGAGAAGTGCTTCCTCTTTCAGACTTTCCCAGTGGGCCTAAAACCCTCTTTCTGAATAAACAAACCCTCGTATCAGCTCACCTTTGAAAAAATTTCTCTTTGTTTTGTATCTTTACCTTGATATATTATTTATTATAATTTTGCCACATTTTTTCCACCTTTCTATATACAGATATAAATTTTTAAAAATGAAATATCTGAGTGTAAGTTTAGATATTATGATTCCCTCTAAAACACTTCAACATGCATCTCCAAAGACAAATGTTCTCCTCCAACAAAACCACATTACCATGATCACAGTCCAGAAACTTAGTACTGATATAATATTATTATCAAATATACACTCTATATCCAAATTTCCCCTATCTCAGTAATGTCCTTTATATCTGCTCCCCCCCCCTATAGATCAGGGATGCAGTCAAGGATTACTCATGACATATAAATAATGTCATTGTCATATCTTTAGTCTCCTTTAGGTCTCCTTCAATCCATAATAGCTTCTCAACCTTTCTTTCTTTTTTTCCCCCCTTTCACAAGACTGACACTTTAGAAAAGTCCAGTCCATAGTATGTTTTTAGACTGACCCTTAACTTGAGTCTGTCTGATTGTTTCCTTATGATTAAATTCAGGTTCAACATTCTTGGCTGGCGTATTAAAACAAGTGATGTTTTACCCTTCTTGGTACATCCTATCAGGAGCACAAGCTGTCAGTTTGTCCCGTTACTGGTGATGTTAAATTTGACCACTTCGGTAAGGTGGTGTAACCATATTCTCCATTTTAAAGGTAGCTTTTTCCCTTTTGTACTTAATTACTTTGAGACTATATGTTTCCCCCACAACCTTTCTTGCTTGAATCAATTATTACAATGGTGGTTGCAAAATTGTGGTTTCTAATTCTATCCATCCTTTTATATTTATTAATTTATTGTTATTCTTATATAAAGTTTTCCCTTCTACCTATTATGATCACCCCACAGAAGCAGTTTGGACTCCCACCCAAAATTTGATTCTGATTTTGAGACTATTGATGCCAAAAGCATACCAAGAGGGTAGGAAAATATTTGTTACTGACATAATAAGGTTTTCTAAGGAGAGCAAGGCAGCCTCCCAAGTAGGTCTGAAACTGTCTTGAGAAGACAGGTAGAGGTGACTGGCTTTGAGATTTTATCATGGTTAGGGAGCCCTGGGTGAGGGTTCTTACGAGTGGACTGGACCTGCGTGGTATAAACTTCCTGCCAGTGCCAAGGACACACATCTGGGCTTTCTTATCAGCTCGCTCACATGTGGGACAGGAAGGGAAAGAGAATGTGGGGCTCCAAAGCTATCAGCAGTCAGACATCAAAAGTGGAGACAGACTATTATATCACCTCTACAGAGTTATTATTTTTTCCTAATAATGTGTTATACTCTATTAATGTTGTTGACTGTTTTTTGGGTTTTTTTATACTTGATAGTTGTTCAAATTGCCTGTGGGAGTCCCTTTAAGCTGCCTTCTGTGTTCTGTTGACATCAGGAGAATTATCTTGACATGCCTATCAGTTTTTGTGACTTCGTCATGTTCCTAAACTGCTTTGCCTCTTGGCCTAACCTGTCTCTCCCCTGAACTTCTGTTAGCTTCCATATTCAGTGATTCCCTGTCCCTTTGAGGCTTGTCATAGATAGGTTAGAAGTTTGGCTGGATGGGCTAGAGACCCAACATAACAGTACCTTAAACACAATAGAGAGTTATTTCTCGCTTGGAAATAAGTAATCTGGTGGCTCTGCTCTGTCGAGTTGGAGGTCTGGGCCCCTAGCTTGTTATTCTGCCACCCTTCACATATTGCCCTCACCTGCATGGTCCAAGACGGCCACTGCTGTGTCTACATTCCAGCCCACAGAAAGGAAGGGACACAGGGGACCAGGAAGGGCTCTCAGAGTGAAACCCACAAGTTGCAGACATTACTTCTGCTCAATTCTTATTGGCCAAAGATAGTCACATGGCCATCTGTAACTGCAAAGGAACCTGAGAGGTCAAGCCATGTTCCCAGCTAAAAATTTGGTGTTTTATGCTATGAGAGTAAGGGGGATGCTGTGGTCCAAGTGTGTCCCCTCAAAATTCATATGTTGAAATTTAATTGCCAGTGGGATAGCATTAAGAGGTGGGGTCTTTAGGAGGTGATTAAATCATGAGGATGGAATGCTCATGAATGGGATTAGTACCTAATAAAAAAGGCTAAAGGGAGCTGCCTTTCTGCCACAAGAGGACACAGCGCCCTCCCCAGACATCGAATCTACCAGTGCCTTGATCTAGGGCTTTTCAGCCTTCGGAACTGTAAGGAATAAATTTCTGCTGCTTATTAATTACCCAGTGTGATATTATATGTATATTTTCATTTTTATCCATGGTTCCTGGCTTGTTCAAACCTTCTCCCCCCTTTCTGTCCTGGAGCTGGCCATAAAGAAATTCTCTGACCTACCTTATCTGATCATAGGTTGTAAGACCCCCACTTCAGGAGGGGTCCTGCCCATGCCTGGGAGGAAGGAGTGCTGTACAGAGAGGCCCAGAAGAACCTGAACAGGCCTTGCTGGGCTCCCCCACCCAGGCTGTTAGTGCTAGATCACACGCTTTTTGTCCAGTCACATTTCTACACAGTTGTCCATGCTTCAGTCATGCCTATGTAGCGAAGCCTCCGTAAAAACCCAAGGAGCTTCCAGGTGGCTGAATACATGGAGGTTCCTGGAGGGCGGTGTGCCCAAGGAGGGCATGGAAGCTCCGTGCCCTTTCCCCATACCTTGTTCTATGTATTTCTTCATCTGTGTCCTTTGTAATATCCTTTATAATAAACTGGTAAATGTAAGTATTTCCCTGACATCTGTGAGCTGCTCTAGCGAACTAACCAAACACAAAGAAGAGATGGTGGGAACCCTGATTTATAGCTGGTCAATCAGAAGTTCCAGAGGCCTGGACTTGCAGTTGGCATCTAAAGTTCGTGTAGGGGACGGGGGAATGGTCTTGGGGACTGAGCCCTCAGCCTGTGGGATCTGACACTATCTCCAGGTAGCGTCAGATTTCAGAGGTGAAAAGTTCTGTGTAATGATAATGTTCTACACTGTAAAGGCCATGGGACAGCTGAAGAGGAGCATAGGTGCAGCTTTTTGG